ACACCGGAAAGACGCTTCAGAATCCTGTGAGTTGTCTCTGAGGAACGCGGGCCAGAGAGGCCTAGAGGACAATGCTGTAGAAGAAGACAGGCTGACGTTTGCTTGTTTTTCAAAGGAAACCAACTCGGTTTTGATAAATGTGATGCCTGTAATGCACATTGTTAGTAGACTCGGTGCTGCTTAAATCATATCTGAAGAGCAGCCGTTTGTCATGCTAATCAATGTGTTGTGTTTCACAGCAGTCGAATAGAGACAATTATTTCCTTTTAGTCCCTTACTGCCAAGTATATCACTGATAGAACACAGACATCGAACTGCAATATCTTCGCCTTCAAATTAAAGGACTTGTATACCAAAAAAATGACTACACATGAAATAATGTCAAATGCAAAGCTTGGCAAATTTAATTTTGAATTCAGGTGCCAGTCAGTCCAATCCAGGAGCCAGCAGGATTTTTTTTCTTAGTTTCCAGCACCATTGACAGCAACCTCAAATGTTAGGTGTCAGCTATAATTATTAGCCCTGGTTCACACCTGGGCGTTTTACAGCGCTGATCGACGAGCTGTAAAACGCCCAGCAAGTGAAATCCCATTATTTCCTATGGGCATGGTTCCCACCTGGGCGTATTTCAGCGCGTAGGAACGCGCTGAAAAACGCCCTACGCCCATAGCAGTACAGGAGCTTTTTTGGGGTGTATTTTCCACGTGTATCCATTAGGATACAGCTGGATGGCCCTCGTAAACGCACGGCCCAAAACACGCGTCAAACGCGCATATTACAAACGCCCAAGTATGAACCCAGCCTTAAGGAGCCTTGGAGACCTGGCTCCTGGGATTTCTCCAGGCCTGGTCTAATAAATGTGTCCATGAGCAGAAAATGGGATATTTGACGATTGTGTAGCTAGAATATATGTTTTAGTCTCCTGTGTTAGCTGCCCTCAGCCCCCGTTCACACCTTGCGTGTTTCCTGAATGCTTGACATGAACAATACCATCATTTTCTATGGTGTCTGTTCACACATGAGCGCTGTGTCACTTGTGGCATGAAGCTTGAGAAAGTACATGAGCTTTTTTTCCGGGTAGCATTCGTGCTTTTTTTTTGGCCCCTTAGACTTCAGTGGAAGCTCCTGAAAAATGAGCATAACGTGTGTCTCTTGCGTCTTCTCCTCCTAGTAACTAGATTTCTATTGGATGAATCAAAAATGCTGAAGCCTGAAAAATGTGCAGATATAAAACCCTTTAAACTCACCTGAACTCACTTCATGCTTATGTGTGAATGGGGAGCCTTGAGCTCTCCAGTATGGCTTTCTGACTCCGCTAACACAGTTCCGAACTGTTCTTCATTATGAAGGACTGTCCCTCTTTTAGAACCTAGCCCCTCTGCCACCTTAGTTGTCCCTCTTTTTGGTCTGGTGTATGGACGACTTGAACAAAACGTGCTATGTGACTACTTTTGTCAGTGTACACTTATCCTTCCATGCAAAACTTTTTAATGTGTTATTTTGAAAAATGGAGTGGTGAAAAAACATTTGTAGGTTTAACCAACAATTTTTTGTGCATTAATATTTGCTGTATCAATGGAGGTGCATTTGTAATCCATGTATTGTAAATTCTAACAATATATGGACTGCAAATGGGCAGTAGTTATAACATGTAGCCAATCGTTACAACAAAGGGGGCACCTATCTGGAAATCGTTGCAGTATGTGGGAAGTAAACGGTCAATTGTTGCAATATGCAGTCATTGGTTGCAATACGCAGACAGCAAATGGGCAGTGGTTGCATTTTGCAGGCAGCGAATGAGCAGTTGTTGCAATACACGAGCAGCAAATGGGCAGTGGTTACAATACACGAGCAGCAAATGGGCAGTGGTTACAGTACACGAGCAGCAAATGGGCAGTGGTTACAATACACGAGCAGCAAATGGGCGGTGGTTGCAATATGAGGGCAACAAATGGGCAGTCATTGCATTATGCTGCTCAAGCCACTGTTAGGGGTAGTGTCACTACTCCTTTCTGGCTGTTGGCAGCAGACCTGTAGGTAACGCCTGACGACCCAAAGACCCGGTAATTAAATTGATTAGCCAGAGCTTCCAGGCCAAAGCTAGAGATATCGCAGGTATGCCAATAGCAATAAAAGACTGGCTGAGGTTCTAAGCCTTCCCTGTCCTCTATATGAAACAAACAAAAAAGTTTTGTCTGGAGTTGGGCTTTAATAAAGATTGTTGACACGTTCAGTACAGACAAATACGGAGACTCTAGTTATACAGGAGCCAGGGGTGTTTTATTGCTCACATAAGTTTTTAGCGTCATCAAGAGACAAGCACTTGACAATCTGGACTTTCCTCAATGGAAACTCTTCTCTCATCAAATATCAACTATTTTCTGAACGTATAGCCATATGTTTCAGACTCAGAAACAGAGATGGCTGTGAAATTCAGCCACAGACCTATAAAATTCGATTTCCTACACACGCTGTAAATGTGGAAAAATGTGCAGCTATCATACTCGCCCATATTTCACACACACACATGGAAGTTTTATGTGCTTGAACGCGCAAAACTGGAAACCGCATTAAAAAGCTTATTGCGACCTGCTCGGTCACTTTGGGATAAAGACTTATCTGTGATATAGTTATTACATATTTTCTTATAAAAAAGGCTAAGCTGAGATTTGCTGTAGTGACACATGGCTCCCAACTGGCCCTCTTTTGGGCACAAATCCCTCTGTCCCTCCTCCTTCCACAATCTGGCGTCTGACATATAGATCTGTGTAACTACCGTACGTGTCATATTTCACTATTAAAAGCAAATATCTGCCCTGCAACCTGTTAGAGTTTCTTGTCAGATGCTGTCAAGTTTGTGGTTGGATGGCTGTTTTCTTGTGACTATATAGAATCATTTCTACCACTTTACAAAACAATGGTTCAGACTCATTGTCACTATGTGGTTCCACAGGAAGGATGTCCTTGGAGGGTCCAAAGAAGGGCAACAAAATTAATAAGAGGCTGGAGAACCTAAGGAAAGGTTACCAACATTGCACTTATGATCTCTGGAGAAGAGGCATTTAAGAGGGGGGTATGATTGCAATCTACAAGTTATTGAATGCGGATGGAAGCATTTGTAACAAAATGTTTACTCTAAGGCACATTTGTCAAACACATGGCCCGTGGGCCCTCCGGGCTATTTCATGTGGCCTTCGCACCTCTCCTGCAGCTTCAACTTTGTTTTTTTAAAAAGCTGGCAACCTGTCCCCAGCAAAGTCCCCGCAGCCTTCCTATGAATCAAGAAGATCTCCTTCTTGTGCATCTATGCTGTCTGCACCTACTGAGACCAACCGGGATCCCTGGTGAGACTGCACAGGCCTCCATAGACCCACACAGCCAACCTGAGAGTCTGCACAGCCAACTGAGAATCCGCACAGCCCACCATAGAACCTGCACAGCCACCTGAGAGCGCCCCACAGCCCACCATAGTCCCCGCACAGCCACTTGAGAACCTGCACAGCCCACCATAGAACCTGCACAGCCACCTGACAGTGCACACAGCCCGCCATAGAACCCGCAAAGCCGCACAGCCACCTGAGCTACATTATTTGTGTCTTTTTTTCATTTGCCTGGTCTTCAGCTTTAAACATTATCATCATACAATCAGTTTCCTTTCCTTGCAACATAGACAGAATCAAATGACTGCATACATCCACCATCTCCCATTTATTTAAAGAGGAGGAATGGTTCTGCACTGCACCTGCACTCTTTGGCAGCCAACTTTTTTTGCTATAAACTGACATATAATACTTGTAACTTTTATTTTATTTTTTTGCTGAAAACAGATGCACCTATAGCAAGTACTCAGAGCAACTGCAGAGCTAGGATGGACAGTGGGTAACTTTTCTGTGATCTCATAGTGACTCTTTCTCTTAAAGGGAACATATTGATTTTATACATATTTTCCTTTTCTATTTTGGTCAGGAATAAAATAAAAAAGGTAAATCTGCAATATTGCATTTGAATACTCTGAAATATGGCCAGCAGGTGAACCTTTCCACCACATCTTCTAATATTCCCTTCCAACTGTTTACAGAGCTCAGTAGCGTATGCTAGTTTTACACACACATACACATATACTGTATATATACAGACTGCCTGTCCAAAAAAAAAACACCTGGATTTAGCTAAGCAAATAGGTCAGAGCCTTCCAGTGGATAAAAGGTACAAATTAAGTCAACTGCCTACCTGAATACACTGAATGATCAGGTTTTTCCATCAATGGATTTTCTCTTTCCTGATGGCACATTGGGTATATTCCAAGATGATAATGTCAGGATTCATCGGGCTCAGATTGTGAAAGAGTGGTTCAGGGAGCATGAGACATTGTCACACATGGATTGGCCACCACATAGCCCAGACCTTAACCCCATTGGGAACCTTTGGGATGTGGTAGAGAAGACTTTACGCAGTGGTCTGACTCTCCCATCATAACTACAAGATCTTGGTGAAAAATGAATGCAACTCTGGACGGAAATAAATGTTGTGACATTGCATAAGCTTATCGAAACAATGTCACGGCGAATGTGTGCCGTAATCAAAGCTAAAGGTTGTCCAACCAAATCATATTACAGTGTGTGACTTATTTTTTTTTTTTTGAGACGCAGTGTATATATCTCAGTGAGTGAGTGAGGACAATGAGCTAGGAATGGCAAATGGAGACATAGGGCCTGTGATAATGGGCTTTGATGAGCAAATGTAGCGTGCAATTGACATCAGTTTGGCACCTCTGTGATTATTCAGAATTTATTACAGGGACAGATGACCTGCTTCAGCTGCTTTTGTACTTTAGTGAGTTGGGAGAGAAGCCGTTATGTAACATAAAGCTTATAAACTTTTTTTTTTAAATCACCCCAACCATTATTGTTTCCCTTTAAAATATTTCACACTTCATTTGCATTGCTTTGCTGTGCAGAACAAGTTGATAAATAACCAATATATTATTCCTCTCTTTTAAGGTGACAGAACCTGACAACATTCAAGAAAAGACATCAACAGACGAGTCCAAAAACGCTTGTCGGAGTCCATCGTTGGGCAACAGTCTTCTGAAGTACAGGAGTCGATCACAAGGTACCCAGCATAGTCTGTTCCTGAGTAGAGGTCGTACAACCCACTTGTAGCGAGGCACAGCCAGTAAATAGTCTGGGTTTGAATAGGGGCAGCCATAATGACTTATCACTTGGAATGTGTATGTTTCCATGGTTACCAGCCATTAAACTAACAAATCGCAAAAGAAGAAAAATTGAAAAAACTTTACAGTATATCTCTGAAATGCATGCACATTTACCCCTTAAAACCCCCACAAATATAGACAAATGCCTGTTGATCTGCCAGAAATGCACTAAGCTCCTCATTTCCCCATGTGCTCTGAAAACACAGTGCCTTTTCTGGACTGAAATCCCATGAATTGGTGTCAGCCTAGCCCAGCTGTCTCTTGGTAAAATACAGAAATCCCTCCTACTCTCCTCATCTCCCTGACTAGGAGGTAATGTGTTTTGTAGCCCAAGATAAAAAATGGGAGGGCTGATTACACTTACCGTGTTTCCCCGAAAATAAGACAGTGTCTTATTTTTTTTTTGCACGAAATAAGACACTAGGTCTTATTTTCGGGGGATGTCTGTAATATAAGACCTACCCCGAACTAGGTCTTATTTTCGGGGTAGGTCTTATATTACAGACATCCCCGAAGATAGCGCTAGGTCTTATTTTCGGGGGATGTCTTACTTTCGGGGAAACACGGTATTCAGATGACAACAGACTGAGTGAACAGGACGTGGGGCAGCTGTGATTTTCTGACGGGTCAATAGGTATTTTTTGTGCACTTATCGAACAGATATAACAAAATGCTTTCAGTGCCTACAGCTACAGAGGTGAATGAACACTTGTTGAAAAGGCATTTTACTATTTGTTTGAAATATGTAAATACAGTAGTGTTTTGGTAATAGTTTGGTCACATACTCGCTTTAAAGGAACTCTGTTACTTTTCCCATTTAGAGAGACAGAGTGTCTTGAAAAACTACCACCCTGCCCACTTATACTAACCTCCACCATGCTCCCCTGACACTCTACCCCCTGTTGAAGCCAGGAGTCAAACCCTGTGTAGGCTCCATGTCAGGTGGTGTAGGAACTTTCACCGGGTTAATGAGGTCTCTCCATCATGTGACAGTATTAGACTTGGCTGTTCAGGCTTGAGCACTGCATCCTGGAAGGATCTCACATGCTCCCTCATAAACAGAAGCATCGGGTATTCTGCTAAGGACTCTCTCAAATCAATGGAGTGGTGGAGAAATGCAGCAAAGGGAGTCCGGGGTTAGACTCTTCTGGTTTGCCCAGTTGGAGAAACAACTTGATAATAACACCAATCTGTGTTTTGCAGGAAGTGGCAGCCGGTTGGAATCAGTGGGTGAGGACGATGAGCTGGCAGTGGCCAATGGAGACACCTATATTGATAGAGGAGACAAAATGCCACATGGGGGACGGAAACACTCACTGCCACAACAGCTGGACTCCACAGCCCGGCAGGTTAGAATCCAGCACCCAATACTTCTAAAATGGATGTCGTTAGACATTAATGCAGTCCCTTTCAAAGTTTCTTTTTGTGAGTTGCGTATGTTGCTATGCCGGGTAGAGCGTGGTTGGGAGAGGGGCCAGATTTGAGCAGGTTATTCCATTTTCTCAAATTCACCTTCGAAAATGAACATACCCTTTAAGGCTATACTGTAGGTTGCATGAGCGAGCTCTGGAGCAGCAATGATGTATTCTCGGAGAGAAAGTAATATCAATGTGATTTGGTAATACTGACATGTGTCTTAATGATTCATGTAAAGCCTCAATCTTAATGAAAAATCTAAACCCAATTAATAAAACTTAATATGAGCTTTAACATGTTATTGTCATTTCAATAGACATTTTCAGTCTTTTTAAATCTGCAACTTTTAATTAAAGTTGAACTCTGGCCTCCCCTTCAGTCTTGCACAGTGGTACCAGCTCCTCTCTGGATTGGAATGGCTTACTCTGATATTACTGCACTCTGTGAGCTTCTCACAATGTGCATTAGAAGTCAGATAGAGCCCCCTCATTTCCTGGCTGGTAGGATGTCCAGCATTATATAACCCTTTCTTTACAAGTCTGACTGTACCTGACCCGTCCCTTTCATTCATTGCATTTCATTTGTTGTAAGTCATGGAGGCTCATAATCACATGTGGGCATTGCTTAAGACAGTTGTCCTGCAAATGCATGAATGTCTAGGAACATCCACTCCTGCAGACTGACACCCACCCATCAAAGTATTTTGATATTTGGATAACTGCTCCCGAAAAACAGCCCACTGCTTGCATTAGGGCTATGGGGTTGTGGGAGGAGTCCGGAGGCAGGGGGGCTGTGAGGTTTTCAGAAAGTTTAACAACCCTCCCGTCAGCCATGAACTGTCTTCAGAGAACACAGAGACCCAGTGTTTACACAATGTAATTTTTTTGGGCTGAAGGCAGAAGGAGGAACCAGATAATTAAAAATATCAACAGAATAAACTTCAGCTTTAAATATTACTTGGTGATCCTACCATGAAGGTTCTCATTCGGGCACTCCCTGTTATGGGGCAACAGCTGTCTCCTAGTTGTGCTTCTACATTGTGACCCTGTCACATGCAGCCCTGCTGGATACTATCAGTGGCCATTCTGATAAACGTGGCTTATCCATGGCCCACAGTTGCCACCATCAGGAAGCTGGTCCAGAGCAATATAGTGCAGCCGCCATTGAAGCGAGTGAATGTAGATAGGAAGACGCCCAGGAAATGAGGTAGGCTCTATCTGACTTACTGCTGCTAAAAGAGGCCGGAGCAAATGATCAGCACTGATACAGGGAAAAAAGATAAAAAAACATGGAAATTGTTTATATATATATATATATACAGAGGGGAATTGATCAAGACTGGAGCAGACAAAATCTGGAGGAGCTGTGTATGGCAACCAATCAGCTTCTCTTTTTCATTTTCAAATCTTAACTGAACAAACTGAAGAGAGAAGCTGATTGGTTGCAATGCACATCTGCTCCAGATTTTGCCTGCTCCAGTATTGATAAATTCCCCCCACAGTGCTTTAATGAACTAAATGTCACCTGGTTAGGGTTTAGATCTACTTAAAAATTGGGCTGAACATAAATATGAATACAAATGACTTTTTTTAATGTTTGTTTTCTGGTCTTTTCGTAATTTGAAGTCATCTAACATGTTCTTTTTTTTTTTGACCATCTGACCACGTTTCTCATCATCACTTATTAACTTGATCTCATTTTTTTTGCATCCATCCTCATCGTTGCTGTGTAAGTCATGTATTTCATCCAAAAGTTTTCCTGCATTTATAAAACCGGGTTTGAGAACTGTACCAAACATTCTGAGCAAAAGAAGCCCATGAGAAGAAACTGTACCTATGATATCCAGAACTCATATATGCTTCAAATGTGCTTATACATTTTATTTAGATAAACTGTATACAGTATATAACTTTGCTTTGGGCTTTTCAAATTCAGTTACGTACTGAGTTCCACAGTCTTTCAGATTTCATGTAGTAAGTGTACGACTTATCATAAAAAGTATGTAGTCATAATGCATGCACTGCTTTCCTACTAAGGCTGCTGTGAGCTCTAAGCAACACTGTCACCTTGACTATTCAGGAGAAAGAGACCATGCTTTTGTAAAGACCAGCCCCTTACCCCCTTTCCCGCATCTGTTACAATTGACCTTACCTTCCCTCTCCATTCCTTCCTCTATTGCAGCTAACAACACATGGCAAGCTCCAACCTCTGTTGGAGCTGACAACACGGAGGTCACATCTGATGGAGCATGTGACCTCCTCCTATGTGACAGTGTTTGGGTTTAGCACATGTCAGGTGGAGTGACATCACCTCTACCATAGCGTCCAACACCAGTAGACACCTTGGATTTCAGTGCCATATGCAACAGTGCACCTCCTAGTATGTGAGGGTCCCTAGGCACTCCGGTGCCTACAGCCTCATAACTGTATATCAGCAGTGTAAGATTTGAGATTGCCTTTTTATACACTTTATGTGTATCATGACATTTTTTATGTACCAATAAAATCTATTTTTATAATTTTTTGTTTTTTTAGACAATTTGTGTACAGAGTGGTGTTGAGATACCTAAAAACCCCAATATTGGAGTAGTTTTTCCTTGAATTAAAATACGTGTTTAAGATTCCAAACTGGAGCTGAATGGTACATTAATTGTTTCAGAAAAGCATGCCGCAAGGGGAATGTTACATTAAAATTACTCATCCACTCACTTGTTATCTCTCGTCTTGACTATTGCAACTCCCTCCCCATTGGCCTTCCACTACACAGGCTATCCCCCCTTCAGTCTATCATGAATGCAGCTGCCAGACTCATTCACCTAACCAACCGTTCAGTGTCTGCAACCCCCCTCTGTCAATCCCTACACTTCCAATCCCTACACTGGCTTCTACTGGCCCAGAGGATAAAATTCAAAATATTAATAATCACTTACAAAGCCATCTACAACTCTGCCCCCGGCTAAATCTCCAACCTTGTCTCAAATTATCACCCTAACCGTCTACTCCGCTTATCCCAAGACCTCCTGCTTTCCAGCTCCCTTGTCAACTCCTCCCATGCTCGCCTCCAGGACTTCTGTAGAGTGTCTCCCATCCTCTGGAACTCTTTACCCCAATCTGTCCGTCTGTCTCCCACCTTGACTGCCTTTAGGCAATCCCTTAAGACTCATCTCTTCAGGGAAGCCTATCACACCTCAACCTAACTGCTCTACCATCACATTCTCAAACAATTCTTCCCCACACAGCTACCTCCTCACATATCACTTGCCCCTCCCTTTTAGATTGTAAGCCCTCATGGGCAGGGCCCTCCTTACCATCTTGTCAAGAATCGTATTGTGATTACAATATAAGGAAGACATTACAAAGCGCTGTGCAAACTGTTGGCGCTATATAAATACTGTGTAATAATAATAATAATGAAAATACCACACTGCAACCATGCACCAAACATCATTGCGTGGTTCCATTGAATTCAGTGGATGAGTTTGGCAAGCATTTGCCACAAAGCCGCGTATGACCATGTATACCACTCCGTGCGTCCTCCA